TGTTGATAGCATATCACAGGTTTTCCGATAAATACAACAGTTGTTGCAATAAAACAGATCAACTTTTTCTATTTCTTTCTCTTCTCTTTAATTTTTTCGCTATTTATTACCGCCTTACTTTTGAAAAATCCCCTTTTTTTGAGCGCATGTTATCTGTATTCCTTAGTGTGCTATCACCACTGCCGCTAAGGATTTGCCAAAAAAATTATTTGTCAAATTGCAGTAACGATGTACGTAATTTATTCATTTCACTTCGCGGAACAATGATTTGATTAGAAAAAGGCTTCAGTTATCTTAGGTCAGTTGTCTGTGATCTATTTTGAATTTTTTAATCAAAACTGTATCTAATTTCGTTTGAGTGAAAAAGGACACCTTGCTCTGCTTTGAGTCCCAATGAAAACTCTTAATTTCTAATTATTTATCGTTTGTATTTTCCGCTCCGCTCAAATTCAGACCCACTCATAATCGTTGTTATTTATCCGCCAACGTTTATCTCCCTTTCCCTCTGTTAACATTTTTCAGATGATTCCCAGTTTGAACATAAAATAAAAGACGCCTCTTCAAACTAACATTTTCAAAAGTTTGACAACTCGAAGTGTATTACTACACTTCTGTCATGGACCTTACATTTGATGGATTTGCGAATGTACCAAAATATAATGGAATTAAGCAATAATGCCCTTGTTATTCTCTGTCTAATTGAAAAAATTACAGTGTTAACCCATTCCCGAAATATGTAAATTCACATACCAGTTGTTGACAGCTGCCTTAAAGAGAGCCTCCTCCCTTTTCTAATCATAGTGAAAAAGGTTCTAGGATACTTTTGGTTTTTTACAAGAGGAATCGTAATTACATTGTGAGAACTGAATATTTACGAGTTTGAGGTTAAGCGGCTTATAAGAAATAATAAATGATACTTGAGGCTGGGAGGATAAGTTTTAAGTCCTCGAATTTTCCAAAATGGATTTCTTGGTGCGTTGTAAGCTAAATGCCATAACTAGAATACCTATGTGTTTGTGCACCAATTATTGCCACATGAATTTTGTGCACCGATTGCTGCGACTGCTATAAGACGATGTCGTGTCTCGTCGCGTTTTTTGGTGACATATTAACTTTCTTTAACATGTCAGATAATTTTTTTAATAGTTTGAAAGTATACGTATTGAAAGTATCAGGGTACTTACCTAAGTTTAAGAGTTCGAATCCACCACTTAAGAAATCGCAAAATGAAAGCGATGTCTTTTAAGGAGGCTCCGTTGCTCTAGTAAAGTTTATGCGTTAAGTTCAGCTATAAATTTTTCCTTCGGCTAAAAACATGATGCAAACAGATATCTTCCGATTAAGCGTATGAGCTGGAAATAATATTCAATCAAAAGTAATCATTGGTATTACGCAAATGTGACAAGTAATAATTGGACGACCAACAGTATCACGTAACCAAGTTTATGCCAGTCTTAGTGGAAATTGATTACCAGATGGAAAACTATGGTCGTTTTTGCGAAGTTCCACTGTCAGATACTATGAGTAGGATTAACTCAACATCTCGGAAATAATTGCAGAGAAGAATGCCTTAAGGATACAGTCGTTACGGAGAAGTCTGTGATTTTATCATATAAATCACTTTAGGTAATGTAAAGTTCCGGCGAAAAGTGCGATAGGCTCCGCGCAGACGCCACAAGGAAATTTAGCTATCGTACAAAGCAAATTAGAGAGTTCACAGACTCTTATCCCGTGCTGTGATGTTTCTGAGTGGAAATTATGTAGAAAGAACTCTTTCCCTTGGACACAGAGCTAAGTCCTTCGTTCAGTACAACAACACAAGTGGAATTTTGTTGCTAGTTCCCACCATTTTCTGTCGATTTTTCTGTTGCGTGATCTGAGGTTTTCAAGGAATTAGCAAAATTAAGTTTTCACAGTTTTGGGTTTCCTGTATTGCTTTTTAAATAATAAGCGAGAAATAATGGAAAATGAAATTCTTTCTTGCCACCTTACGATCAGCTCCACTCTGTTTGAAAGGATTATGAGCAATGAGACGAACTCTGAACATTCAATAAAATGGTTTTCATTTATTTTAGATAATGTGTCGGCCGGTATGGTTTAACTATTACTTTATAGAGACCTTACGAATCCTTCTTTTATTCATTTTAAACAGGTCAGATGTTTTCACGCAGAATTTTGTATTTTTCCCTGTTGGAAGTTCAAAACTTTTAAGTGAACAATATGCGATAAATATAATGTCAAAAGACCTTTTTTTCGCAAGAGCCGGTTTGTGAGATTTGGATTTTAATCATTAAAAACCTACTTTATATAGTTCGATATGTTTTGTAAATAAAAAAGGAAGTGTCCACAGCACATATTTCATTAAGAAAAATCTACAAATTTAGCCCACGGAATACAAGCTTAATGAATAGAATATCCAGGATATTATCTTGGCCTAATCCAATATATCATTAATAAAATCTACTTTTAAAAACTGGAAACGTTATTAGCCAGTGTTCATTGAAGAGTATCAGTTGAAAAGTGAAACTTTCGGCGAATTTTTCTCCTCCTAGCTCTTAGAGTAAAAGTATTATTAGATGCCTAAAGATTTGAAGAAACAACACTAGTTAAACCAATTCAATATGGTATTGTTACATCGTGAAAATTTATTCTTACGTAAGAAGGGTACACAATAGGGAGAATAACGGATAAACTAATTGAAACAGCTTTCAATTTAGTTTTTTAGTTTTTGATCATCAGTGGCACATTACATACCTGTAACATCTGTCAAATTTAGCCAACTTCAGCTTAAAAACTTCATAAACGTAGACAAATGAGAATTATGTATGACACAATTTCAGTGCGTACTGCTGGTTGACTTACTGACTTTTTTTAAGCGAATGAGAGTACATTTCATGTAGCAGAATAAAACGCCCACGTAGAGAACTAATCACTGATTTTTAATTTCACTTTCTGTCTACGTGCAGTGGTACCAAATTTAAATACCGAAATTCTAATAAATCGTATAGAGATAGAATTTCAGGTAAAATAATATCCCATTAGTTTGTAAATGTTACGGTTCTTCGACCGGTAAAACAGTAATTTAATCAGTGACTATAGATAAAAATAGAACTTGATTTCCATCTCTATTTGTTGTTATATCTTTATCTTCTTTCTTTTTTGTTTTTATTTTGTTTTGATTTATTTGAGAAAACAACATACTTTTAATGCATGGCAAGTCTCCAACCACGAAAGCTGTGTTATTACCCGAGTCGAATTATTTTGTTGTATTTTTTTCAGATCACAATGACTTTTTGAATTGAAACGTTTACGAATACACACCTTCGATTCTGATTTTGCAGTCTGAGTCACAAATATTGGATCTTTTAAATATATATCAAATAGGATATTGACTTTTTCTCTATTACATTCCTGTATTTTCTTAATATTGTCTTAGTCCGTGCATCGTGATCAACATGTGATTGAAACAGCAGAAATTAATTGTCATCTCTCCCATCAAACTTGCGATTTGTTTTCAAACTGACTAAAATGAGTTATCGTATATTGCATTCTCATATTGCATCACAATCAAATTCAGTTAATGTTAACGAAAATCAATGAGACTAGCTCTAAACACCGAGACCGTGTTACTACTGTTTAACTTCACATATTTGCTGTTAACCACACTAAAACGCTTACGATCTTCAACAATAAACGCGTCTCAAGTTTGACAAATTAAATCTGCCCACGAAATACTTGGTCGATCAAAAAGTTTTTCATTTGGAGACAAGGATACGAAACATTTGACTTGCCAAAGCTCGGAATTCAAAAGTCTGGAATATGTTTTCAAAATTCTAGAGCACTTCAATCTTTCCTTGTTGAATTATCCAACAGAACTGTTTTCATTTGATTTAGCGCCCTCCGGTTAAAAGTCGTCTGACCGCATATTTTTTAACAGTTCATGTCAACCAGGTTAAGTTGATAGAGCACCATGCTCGAACCAATGATTAAGTATTCAACTTTATGAAAAATCGCTTTAACCCAATCGACCTTCAATGAAAATAACTTTAAAAATTTTCAGTGGAGTTCGAAGTTACTCCAGGGAAATAAGATTGAATTCTGCACCTGCGTCAGTTCTATTTTCATTTTCCACCAATTGTAATTTGTTTAGTTAAGTTATCATATTTAAAATCATGTCGATATTTCTCGCTGAAGAGCCATTAACTATGGTCTAAGCAAGATAGGTCAAGCTAAAAAGAATTCTTCATCTCCTCACCTTTATGTGGAGTTTACACTGCCGACACAGTTATCATTCATATGGTTGAAAATGTTGGAGGGATTGACAGTGAATACCAGTTTGGTCAATTTGCATGTTGAATGAGGTGTCAGAGATTCTAATTTACGCTTTTTTTAAAATAATAAGAAAAATTATTGTTTCGTTGTAAGATAGTGCTGTTTTATTTTATCTCTGTCTGTGATCTGTATCACAAAGGCAGCAATCAGCCGTTCAGAACCGTGTGGTGCCATTTAATTTACAAGTCATTTTCAAGTTGCATCAGATTCATGTTTCATTAACTGGACAAAGATTTCGCACGTAAGACTCGGTTCTCTCATCTTCTGATAAAATTTGTCTGTTTACTCAATTAGATACATATATAACTTTGGAAAATTTTCGCTTCTTACATAAATCAGAAAAAATTGCGACGATTGCCTTCGAAAATTCATGCTCCAGCTCTGAAAGAAGTTTAGCGACGGTCGCAAGATGAAGTTTTGAGACAATTTCAGTTGTTGCGGGATTATTAGCCACTTTAAATTTGATGGGAATTAAGCTGATCCTATTCATACGTGCCCTTATAATTTTGGCATTTACATAAAAAACGAGAATTGGACTAAAGTTTTCATTTTTTGTGCTCTTATTATTGTACCTTAATGGACGATATCAAATCTATTCGATAAGATACGTTTTCTTTTCAGGAAAGCCGGGAAAGCCCATTGCGCAAGACCGTAAGAAGACTACTCACCTCGTGTATTCTGGATTAAAGTTGAGTCCAAATCAGTAAGCTGAAGGATATAAAAAAGAGAATGACAACATGATTATTACAAGAACGACTTTCGATATGACTGTGCTGTACCCGGAGAACGAACAAATACTCGGTTTCCGCCTGTTGTGAAATACAGCATTACATGCAGTAGATAGCGACGCGCAGTTTTGGCAGAAGATAGGGCCTGGTTTCGTGGCAAAAACTTAACGGGTTACTGATATTTCATCTGAACAAAAGATTGTCAACATTTCAGCGACGTCATTTGAGTTACATATGGTATGCAACAACATGACAAAAAACACTGGCGCAACACCTAGGACTACAACTGCTGAAAAATCTATTTTATTTCGAACTATAGACCATAATCTCATTGTGATTAAAGCCGGGAATCACACCACCAGTCAATGAATAGTTGTGTATCTAATTATCTAGCAAGGTAAACTTTTTCAATGAAACATACCTGCCTCATTCAATTTTCGCCGCCGCCGAATAGTTTATATTGAAAGTACAAAGCAGAGATCCCTAAGTAAACTCAACAGTTTATCAACTCTGCCTTTCCTATTCGTTTCATTTAAAATGACTTTCTATTATTTTTTATTTCCTCTGACTTTTTATTTCAAACTTGACATAAAGGCCAATCCCTGAGACATCCGTGACACGATATTTTAAAATCGCTACAGCTTTGTTTTCATTTTTTTTTATTTGCCCCACTCAACTCGCTCTATGTAAACACTGTGTGCTTTACAGGATTGTTATCAAATGCCTCCTAATTCCAGTAGATTTGTGCAAATGAAAAGTCGCCATTAAACGGAAGATTATCTTATCAAGTAAAAGAATCTTAACAATAAATAAAAGAAACAAGGAATCTGAAACTTAAACAAGGGTGTATCATGAATTTGGGATAATGAAAGTGTCGAACTAATCATATATTTTTCTTTTCTTTTCTGTGATTCTTTCGTTTGAGATGTGTTGCCTTCCATTATATTAACGCTTTCATCTACAGTTTTTGCACTTGTGATCTCATAATTAAATCTCAAAAATTGAAAAAGGGAAATTTTCATTAAGTTTTTTCAATAACAATATTCCTTTTTAATTTACTTTTGAACAAACTTTTGATGTCGGTTAGTATGGCATTTAGTCATTGCTTCTTATCTATTTGTTTCGGTAATGATGCCAATATGAATTGTGTTAGGTTATAGCTCGATCTCAGGTGCAAGATATATCAATCACTTTGCCAAGTTAACATTTAGTGATTTTTTGAGGTGTTAGAAAATCCACGTCTTCCCTTGAACACTATTGATTTGAGTGCCAAAACGGCTATAAAATGAACTTAATAATATATTAATGAGCTGCTGTTGTAAAGACAGAGAAGGAGATGCATTTACTCGTGAGAATATCAGAGAAAAAGAGTAGAATATTATTGATACCACTTGGGGTGATCCTAGAATACATGTGAGTTCGAGCAGAGTTTTGTGTTTTGTGGTTTGAACAGTGCATAATTCTGCCTTTCGCTGGGTCTTCCATGCGAAGAACCATTGCTAAGCACTGAGCATTCCTCACTGTTTCTCACCTTCAATTTTGGATTTGTGGGAGAACAGGTTATATGCAATATATATGAATCTGCCCAAGAAAGCTCCACGAAACACTATTTTTTGTTATGAAGAAATGGGGATATAACTGTACCTTGTTTTCTTCAAATTTCTTAGTAGATTTTTTTCCTATTCTGAAAAATTTCCCAACGACGAACTCAACCGAAAAGCTGGGTGATCGTCCAGGTTGTCCTTCTTCAGTGCTCGCAAACACAGGAAACTCATCAAAACTTGAAAATATCCTCAATAAATACCCCCACTGATTGATAATTGTGTTTGACAACATCTGCTGCTCTCGATTCTTTATTGAACGAGGGATGAACTCAAACTGTAAACCGCGGCTCGGTTTCCACCGCAACTTTAACACTTAAATGAAATCCGTGAAATTAAACCTTTCTGCGGTACATATCTAAGCGCAATTTTAAACAAGGGATTAAAAGTGACTAGCTTTCGTCTGTTTATTTGCATTCTGTGGGGACGAAAGCTCTGCATGTTTTGATACTGTTCCACAGGAGTTGTGAATCCAATATTTTTCCTCAAAACGCACGCTGCGTTTCTTATCTTTTAAAATAAATTGTTTTCTTGCTTGGATAGAATTTTTTTGACATTTCCTTCGTCAATCTCTTTTGAACGGGGCTGGGTGGTCCACAGAAAATTGGTAGACGCTGTGTGTTTCTCACCACTTTAGATTACACGCACAAAAAATTATTTTTGTTCATAGTATTCAAACACGATGTACCATGTTGGTAAATGTTTTCCAAACTTATACAGTTACTATATTATGACGGCCCTTTGGCGGACATATTTCCTGTGAAGCGAACAGGCATTATCTAAGTTTCACGTAGAGTTAAATACAAAGATGAAGAATACAGATGAACAAAAACAAGGCCAACGAGAAACCTTTGCGAACAGAGGTAATCAGTTTGGCAGATGAACTGCAGTAACCCCTACGCGTAAGCAATTCTACAATAAACTGTTTTCCTCAGGAAGTTTGTTACCAGGATACGGGAAGATATTACTTCAGAATCAATCAGAATTCACCCGAGGACACCCGTAACGAGTTAACGACATTTAAAAAAAACACATAAAAATTAACTTCAAGGGATATTTGGAATGCCATGGTTAACTTGTTTAAAACTGAGCTGGACTAGGAATCAGAAGTCATCCACGCACGCTCAGCTAACAACGTAAAAATACTTTCAGCTCTCATTTTTGAAACTCCTGAGGAGTGAGCGTGATATTTCAGTTGAAGCATCACTGAGAACTCATGTATAAATTGAATTTCCGGAATGGTCTTGTAGTGTAATACTGCTAGCTACTATACTTTGTACAAATTTTGATTGAATCAGTATAAATTTCGATCAAACTGAACTTATCTAACAATGTAATTGTGTTTAGAGTTGTAAAACTTTGGAACTATATGACAAAATTGTAAGTTTGGGGAATGGCAGATGTTAAATTCGTTTTGATTTTGAGTGAAGCCGGTCAAGAAGGCAAACTATAGGTATAATGTTTCAGGCATTCGACCTCTCGGCTGCTTTTACATAGTTGCAAGGTAGTTTAGCGAATCGTGCTACTAAAACGCAAAAGTTTCTCAAGAGTTCAGTAATTTAGTTTGCGTGATAACTTCCTAAAAAACCTGATTAGATAATGATTCATTATCTATAGCCTCGACAAATCATATTTCGGGAGGTACCAAAAGCAGAAGTCACGGCGACCGAAAAAAAACAAAACAAAACAAAATCAAATAAAACAAAAATTATACACTGTTAATTTGCGCTAAAACATCGATTCATCTTTTAGGAGAAATATCAAGAGATGAAATACAAATACTTAAAAAAATGTCTACATTTACCACCACTGATTTAGAAGCAAATTTATGAAAACATTTATAACGAACAACAAGGAAACTTTAAATTATCATCTCGGAATCCAAAGGATCAGTGAGCCTAAACTTTTACTCTTTTAATTGTAATAAGATATAGCAAACTGCAAATTTATTAGTATTCCATCGATTTTACGTGGGATGGAGACGGATCAAATACCAAATATTGCTGTTGTTGTTGATTTGATTGCTATTGTTGTTGCTGCGTTTTTTTTGGAAGTTTTGCATGGCCAAAGATGACCTATTTCGTCATATGCACGACTATGGTGTCACGATTGATGAAGAGATGACTATTACAAGTAAAAAAAAATGAAGAAAGACATAGATCTCTGAATGAGTTGATTCTTCTAAAGATAGAGATAAGAGAAAGAAAGAAAATAAGAAAGAAAGAAAGAAAAGAACAAACAAAAAGCACATTTTTTTAATGTGGCTATTTTGTTATCCAAGCGTGGAATGAAAATGTTTTAGATTATTTCGCTTGAGCTACAACTACAGCAGGTGACAGTCAGCAGCTCTACAAACTCGGACCTTTTGATCGCATATGACTCGTCGATTTAAATTACTTGTGTAACATTTGCACACTGCAGTCTCATCGAAAATTTAACCAATTCAAAAAGACAGGTGTTGACATAAAAAAACGGCTAATTTTCTGAGATACACTAAAATAAAGCTTTTACAAACCTAATGTCAAAAAATATCCGTGGGTGAAATAAGATTTGTTTAGATTTTATCAGTTCTGACACTGGAACATGGAACAGTTTTAAACAAATTTTAATGTGATAAAATTAGATTAACATGTGAGTCTCAATTCGAATCATTCCTTTATGTTTCCTAAACCGTGAGCAGTTCAGATCAATATCAGAGTAATATCCTTGATTTTTTAAAGACGTTGGGTAGGTATATATTACGCAAATTTACAATTCTAAATTCCCAATACCTGTATAATAAGTCGATTTTGAGAACGGTTTCTTCCCAACTGACTTGTTATAAAATGCGTTACCAGGAACCTGTGGGCTCCTGGTGTTACTCCTGCTGATTGTTCTGATCTTCAATTTTTCTGAACGCTTACAACGTTGTTGAGGAGTTAAGTGGTTTCTCCTCAACATTTGAATTGTCCCAGAAAGTTTTGAAGACACAAAAACTTTTCTAGAAGTAATGAGTTGTCGTTGGCGAAAATTTTTTGTTTTTTTAATTTATAACTAAGCAATCATACACATGCAAATTTTCTTAACCATTTGTTCTCTTAAACAATTAATCCTGATACTTTGAAAACGGCCCAAATTTAAATTCTACTCGTCACTTTCGCGTTCCCATCATCATTTTGGATAATAAAAAGATTTTGAATTCTGCATTTTTTACTCCCACGAATGTTTCAGTGAAAATCACCGATCTATTTTGATAACCCTATGGATTTGTAGGCCAATACAATGTTGTTCTCGAACGTTTTGATTAAAAGATTTATCAATCAGTTCGTGGAGCTTGATCGCCTTCTTTACATATGTTATTAACAATAATAGTTACAAATTGTAGATCGATCGGCTACTAGCAGCCTATAGCTAACGCTCGCTCAAATTCTCAAGCTGGTTTATCGTCCATTTATATTCCCTTTAGACTTAAGTAACTGTGAAAATCACTACAATTAGTTTTCCTGGTTAGAGACTAGCCCGGCTTCTCCGAAGTTGCTTGATCACTAAGAAGAAATGTCAATAAAACGGACATTAGTCTAGCTTTCAATAACATAGCTTGCCAACTCTGAAGAGAGCTGGTTCTTGCCAAGAATATTTTTTATCTATGCATGTTATTCGTTAGGTGATCTGAAATGTTATCTCCTGCTCCGGAAATCATCCTCATCGGAACACCGGTTAATGTCCGCGCAGAGCTTCGCATCGTAGCTTGACGACTACTCGAATAACGGCTGCCTCGCATGAACGGCAATTGTTTGCCTCCCGATGAACAAATGTTTAAGCAACCGGAACGAAAATCTTTGCTCATCGCTAAAAGAATTACTGGGTTGATCACGTGCTTGATGTAGTACATCGCCAATGTAATAAGGTTTACATAGTTGAAGTCTGGCTTCGACGTTGTTTCTGGGCTAAATTCAGTCAGTAACATGATCACACCACGAGGAAGATAGCAAATTTGGAAAGCCAACATCAACACCACTAGAATCCTAACCAGGTGCTTTTTCTGTCGGAGGCGATCATTTATCGTTTTCTTCATGGAAGAGTTCGGCAGAAAGGATTCACTTCTCGCCTCGATTTCGTCTTTTGCTCTGAGTAAACGGATGATGTCAAAGTATGCCAGACTCTGAACCACCAGGGGTAAAGTTATGAACAAAATCACCAGATACATCTCGTACGCGATTCTGTAACCTTTATTGGAGAAAACTGGAAAACAATAGAACTTCCCATCGGGAAACAAAGTGACCTTGATGAAAAGTAGCATCGGAACACCGGCTGTCACATAACAGGCCACCCACACTGCTGGAACTACCATACTGACGCGTCGGAGAGTAAGTGTCGGCTTGAAGGGCGAGACAATGGCTCGATGCCTCTCCAGAGCGATCACGGTCTGTGTGACTACTGAGACACATACGAAAACATCTTGGAGGGGTAAAAATATTTGACACAGCACATCACCGAAAGGCCAACCATGATAAATTTCGATGATCCTTAGTGGTGCCGCAAGAACACAAACTCCCAAGTCTGCGGCACAGATGTTTGCGATTAGTAAATTGCATGGTGTTCTCATTTCCCGCCAACGAGAAAGTGTCGCTACTATAAGAGCATTCCCAAACAAACCAGCCACGATAATTAAGGAGAAGAAGAGCGTACCAAGGATAACGTACAGTTGAGGCACTCCTGCGAACGGTGGCGCATTTGGTGTCGAATTTGACGGAAACCGGGTGCTAGCATTGATCGTCAAATTCCACATATGAATTGTCGAGTTTGCAGTCATTCTGGTAGCACTTCGCCCGATATATTCGGTATTATTTTGTGTTTTACGATCTAGAGCTGCAGCAAATCAGATCAACTGCCCATTCATCAACAAAGTGAAGTTAAAATCAATTTTTTGGTGCTGTTACGTTTATATTTAACTTGTTATGTGCGGAGGCGGCACAAGATCGATTGCTTTGATGTCAAAAAGAAGAATAGGCGACGGATGGACGTATGTCCCATAAATGACAAACCTTCACCTTGAACTGAAGACGTTAATGAAGATATCTGACTGCGCCCTTCGCAAACGTAACTTTAGAGGGGCAGTCCTTCAAAAACTTCTGTTAACAAAATAGACATTCTGCCTGTTTCTGCAAGAGTTGCGCATCAAACAAGTGTGATTTTAAAATCGTCATTAATTTGCAACGCTTGAAGCAAAAAGGGATGGGTATTGTCAGTGAAATGTTGATGTGATGTGCAAATAGTATTCTACCCAAAACAATTTGATGTGAAAAACTTGTTTAATTAGTTTTGTCTTCTCACACCTCTGGTAATTTAGTAAGGATGAAATTTCATTCTAGAAGATTTTAAAAGATAGTGGAAATTGTAAAGGAGGTTAACATGAACATTAATCAAGAGATCGCGCGGAAAACTGTGTCCGCATTGAGATGAATTTTCCTGGCGCAGATGTGCGCCAAATATGTAAACTTTTTTTTCCGTCTCGTTTATTTTGTCGGGACTTTAGGTAAACAAAATATCGTTCACCAGCACTCCTCTTATTACTGCCCTAAGAGAGCAGGGACTGAGTTCCTTTTCCCAACCCTCTTTTGCCATTGTGGGATTACTAGATACGACGACTAAAAGCTTTTATGGACGGCTATAAATGCGGCTAAGGTTTTTAATGAATGATTAAAAAAAACAATGATATATTTCGAGACAGTCTTCAGTGGGTAACTTCAATCAGTAAATTTGCAATTTTTTAATCAAACTGTTCGAGTTGTGCCGTAGATTTCGATGTCTGAAACAAAAAGTTATTTTCACAACGAAACTTAATAGCTTTATTTTTCATGAAATAGCCCTTCTGACTTTACAAAGTCTCCGCGTGTTCCCCATTAAAATTTCAACATTTTTCAGTGGCGACAGAGCGTGAAAACAATACTCAATTGTTACAAATTAAAATTGAAAGAAAAACTCCAAATAAAGGTGCACGAATCATCTGTCGTTATAAGTTTTCCATCTGTCAGTCGGCAGTTACAAAAGCTTTTTGGAATACTTGACTTGATCTCATGATTGTTGCATTTTATCAGCTGCGGGTTAAAAGAGAAACTCTCTAAAAGGCAGCGATCAATAACTTGCAAGGCAACAAATTAAATTGGTTACTTTGATTAGATCGATCAAGTCGAACTATTTCCATGGTCACAACTCTGAAAAAGCGCTGAGTCCAGGGGAGAGTAACTATGGAGAAAAAGCACGAATTTAGGGATGAATGTTACTTATAAAAGTCATTTTTATTAAGCGGATAAAAAAAAAAAAAAATTAAGCGGATATTGCATCAAACTTTTGATCTTTTCACTTGCCTCGAATTTCCTTAAGAAGTCATTTTCAATCATTCTCCACACGTCAGTAAAACCAGAAAAAATATTTGCGTATTTCTCGTTTGGTCGAATTGCCAAAAGATTTATTAATTTTCACTTAGTGTCTGCTACCGTAACTTTAATCCTTATGCCTTATGACATGAAACCGCTCAAAGAAGTCATAAAAAATACTCAAAAACAAAAAATTTATTTCTTTTAATGTCTGGCAACGTGCAAATGAGGAGCTGAGCTAATTACAGACTTTTAAAACAAATTTTTACATAAAACGAAAGCAAAGCTCTTCCTAAAAGTAAAACTAATTTTTACAACGTTCTTTGAATATTGCAAAAAAAAAAAGCCCGTTTTTCCTTTTATTCTTTGTTTTCTTTTTTAAACAAAAGAATACCAATTCAACGTTGTATTACTGGAAAGAAAAGATATTACGTTTAAAACCGACCGAAGTGATTTGCATTAAGTTGGCAGATTAGTTCGGTTAGCGCTCATATTAAGACAAAGAGCCAAAATAAAACTAAGGTGTATTTTGCCAAATGGTGAAGTATTTATCAAAACTGGCTAGTATTAAGAATCTTATTTGGAATGAAACAGATACAGCTGCCACCCAGGTAACTAAGTCTCTGACTTAGAAGGTAAAGCAGTCATCTTTTACCGTGATAATTATCTCGACAAACATCAACAAAACTTGCCGGCTTTTAGCACGATAACGGAAAATTTTATTCTTTAATTCTGACAGCAGCCGTTTTGCAACATGTTTATTCAATTTTTCGAAACTTTCTTTCTTCTCCATAACCTCAAAACCGAACATCTTCATTTTTCCTTTGTCCGAAGCGAAAAAAAAAAAAAACCACCGAAAATCAGCTTTCATGTTATAAACACTTCAGATTAACATGTGGGTCATATCTAAGAAACCTTTTTTTGTCCGTTTTTTTTTTCAGTATCAAAACTGAATCATAAGATACACGTCTTAAATTTGCGATAAATTTATGGAAAAAATCGCACTTAGGCTAACATTTCTTTTAAAAAGACGAATAATGACAAATAGGTCAGTTACGTGTCGATAGCATCCTTTCAAAGACAAACTTTGAGCAGCTTTTTGAGCAGTGTTTTAAGGTGATTCCATAAAAAAAAAAAAAAAAAAAAATTCCAAAATTTTTTTTTCAAACTTCCCTTAAATGTTCCCTATCAATGTCTGTTTTGAAAAATACAATTAAAAAGATAGGTCACCGGGCTTGTTTAGGATATATGATGGGCCAAACTTACCCTATTTATGCCTGTGCTGGAACTAATCACGCGCGTCATTTCATCGATTCACAATACATTTTAAGAAAGGTGAAAGCAAGGGTGTTTTAAAGTAACACTTGAAAAAAATTTATAGGTTGAAAGTCTCAAGAGTATGGAACAATTTGATATATAATTAAAATGACATCAACTCCAAACGTACCTCGAGTCGTTGCTTACAAGGTCATAATTTGTACCATCGAGTAACAGGCTTCATGCACACTTTAAGTTTTTTGTCCACCGTGGTTTTTTTTAAAATTTCCCTTATTTAAAGGGGATATTTTGTACAACAAAATTATGCAATACAAAATGTTCGACACCGTGCTCGTTCAAGAGCCAAAGGGCATCGTACCTCTTTACCTGGTCCATTTATTGAAAAACAATACCGTGTTCTTGGAATGCGCGCGCTCATTCCCCTGAGTTCGTGGTTTGTATGCACAGTACACGATGCACGGTGCAATAGCGAGGAATCACCTTAACGTTGGAGAGGACTGATTATATTCTCAAGCAAATACAGCACGTCATGATAATTTGTATCACGTGAAGAAAAAATGATGGGACATATTCTCTTTTGATCACTTGCATCCCCGTTCCGCTCAGGTTAGAGGAACAAAGACAAACTCGTTCCTAATGCCTCCCTCTCTCTCTTTCCAGTAGCGTGGAGGAGAGAGACCCTGAAGATTCAACCTGGCGAGGATAGACGTAAAAAGTATTCATTTAGGTGATAGCGGTCACTACTAACAAGGTATGGCAATCCTGATAATGGCCGTGAACGTTTACATAATCGCTTAATGGCTATTTCGTGATCTCTTTCGCTATCGTGTATGTGATCTTGACTGTCGGATAAGTAAGATATATTACACACTGTCTAGAATCCCGTAATCAACCCTTAACATGCAAACAGATTGTCACGAAGTGACGCAGTTGCGTGCGCTTAGCCGAAATTCATCGTGATCATTTAGTCATGTGATTCAGGCATGGATTTAAAAATTTGTTTTATATTAAAGTTAAGAATAGAAATGTTGGATATCGTTAAGGTCACCAGCGATGTCAAGGTTAATTCGGCCAGACCTAGAGATATGTTGAATGTTCCACATCGAGGAATTCGAAGCAAAAATATTAGCAAACTGCTGGTGCAGCGGAAAACTACACAATTTTGAAATAAATAGCTTTAGTCGCGGTAATCATTCAGCCTCTTATAGGGTCGAATACAACTTAAATTCGTAATCATAACATTTCCGTTTGTGTCGTGCACTCATCAAGATGAATCTGACGGTCACAATGTGATTACAGCTGACAGAAAGATAAGTTTACACAAATAGTTCGCGGTTTGATAATAGCGTCAAAAACTCCATCCAATTAGCACCGTGCACTTTTCTTCAACAGTAAAAAATGGCAACAGACCAAATTGGAATTCTTTTTTAACACTATAGTTTAGTTTCACTCGCTTGGACAAGGTTTCAAGTTAATTTTAATTCTGAATACAGTTCTTCTAAGGTAGTATTCATTTTCAAAGTAACGAGAGACATTATCCTTGTATAATACAGTGTCCTGATTACATCCTGAGGGTCTGACAAACTGAGGAAGAACTTTCGGACAGTCCATAAAATAGCGATCATGCCGATGGCCTAATGATGGATGACGCTCACTGATAATGTGCGGGCGCATGAAATGCCTTTCGTTTAAGTGGACTTTGTCTTTCAAAGGACAGTTTTCATAAGCTGGTGGCTAATGATCTACGTAACTTTAAGCTGTAGTTCTGTGTACTAAGGAGGCAGTAAATATATTGAATGTTCACAAACGAACGCTTGGAAATGACGGACCGAGCAGGAAAAAAAAAACCTACTTTTAACAGTAAAAGCGGTAGACGGGAACTCTGTAATCGAAAAAAATTTACGTTTACTTGTCATTCCAAAGAGAGGAGAGCCAACCTTTTTATCGGAATTTACACAATACAATAGTTCGATCGATAGAGACCGCCTGACATAATTATCTTATGTCAATTATGGTTGCACTGATCAAACCGTTTAAGAATATACTAAAACTCGGAGGAACCATTGAATTATTTTACTTTTGTATAAAACACCAGGTTGCAGTATGCGAGAATAACAAATGTTGAATCAACTTGCTCAATCCGTTCACGAAAGCCCAA